TCCTAAGTTAGTAGTGACCACCTTCGAAGATGAAAGAATCTAGAGAGCTGAAATAGATTCTTTATTTTAGGGATGGAAATAGGATAAAAAAAGATACCTTTGTTAGTCACCGCTGCAGTACCATCGAAAGAACATCCTGGGGAAAAAAGGAGATGTTCGTGTGTGTGTGTGTGTGTGTGTGGGAGAGGCTGGGGACCAGAAATCTGGGTCCTGGAGCCTAGGTCCCAAAGGTGGGTGATAGGGCTTGGACTCTTAGATCTGAGAAAATAGGGGTTGGGGGTTATGACTCCTGGTCTGAGGAAGGACGGGGTGGGGGCCTGGACTCCTAAGAGGGTCTGGCGACTCAGACTTCTGGATCTGGGGAAGGAGGGGCTGGGGACCCAGACTCTTGGGTCTGGGAAAGGAGAGCCAGATGCTGGGATTCTGGGGTCCCAGGGACTCACCACGCCAGCACGGTCGCACTGGCTGAGGCTAAGGCCACAGCGGCCGCGAGCAGGCACTGATTGCCCGGCGTTAGAGCCTCGGGCCTGGTCAGCAGCTCGCCCAGGCTGGGCGTCCAGGGTTCGATCATCTCCCCCTCCCGTGGCGTCCAGCGCAACACTTCCCGAAAAGAGACCTGGAGCTCAGTCTCCCCGCGCGGTGGCGGACCTGTCACTGCGGGGACGCGCACGTCAGCTGGGCACGAGCCCCACCCCTCACGTAGCCCCGCCCCTGCCGCGCAGCTCCGCCCCGCCCGCACCGTTCAGAAAGAAGTAGAGCCGCGCCAGGGGGCGCTGGTCGTGTGTGATCACGCAAGAGAAGGTCCCGCGGTGCGTGGGCTGCACCGGCCGGATCCGTGCCAGGTATCCTCGGGCCCGCGGAATCTCTCGGAAGTAGGACAGGTCCTGAGTCCGGAGCTGCGGGACGCTTGGGCTGGAGCGGCGAGAGGAGGAGGGCCCCCAGCCCCGAGTCCAGAAGAAATTCTCTCCGCCCCGACTCGCCAAACCACAACGTAAAGCCCCGCCCCCGAGCTAGACCACGACTTCCTGAGCCCTGGCCCCACCCTCAGCTCTTATTCGCCGATCTTTCACGCATAGTCCCGCCTCCTAAGTCTTGACTCCGCCTCTTGGGCCTAGTATTTGCTCTCCCGCCGAAAACCCTTACGGATAACCCACGCCTGAGCTCTGGTTCTGCATTGTGAGCTTGCCCCTTACCCTTAAATGCCGAGACCCTCCCCTTGCACGAAGTCTCAATCTAGACCGAGTCCCACCCTCTGCATCCTGACTCCCCATGCTCTAGTAAAGCATAACCCGCCTCCTGTCTTCATGCTGGACCCTCCCCGACTCACACCTCCTCCTGCGAACTTCCAGGAATAGGTGATCTCTTCCTTAGGCAGCGGGAAGTTCACAGTGCAAAAGAACATAGCCTGATGACCCCGAGTCACCGTCAAGTCCTGAACTGAAGACAAGTCCTCATCACCGCCTCGGCCCGCCCACGTCCGGCCCCGCCCCCAGACCACGCCTCCTCCGCACTCAGCTCCCTCTTCCAGTTTTTCAGGTTTCTTGCCCTTCAAGGCCACGCCCCTCACCTGGGCAGTCTAACGGGAGGTCGCAGACCGTAGAGTAGCACCCTCTGCAGCGGAAACGCCGGGCGACCTCCTGGAGTCCTATGGGACGGGAACGCTGATTCTGGGCTCCCCTAGTCCGGGCTCCCCTGCCTCCCCTAGTCCGGGCCCCTTCGGCCACCTTAAGGTCTATTATTTAACCTCCTTGGATTCTACCTGCCAGACAGAATCTGGGCCCCGCCTTCCCTGTGCTCATTGGCCAGCTCTCACCACTCTCCAGCCTCTAGGATCCCTATTGGTTTGCTTTGGTTTTCGGACCCACCTTTTATGAGGTTTGTGAACAATACCTGGTTTACTTACTTTTCCCCATGGCTCGTATTGGCCCCCTTCGGATCACAGGCCCACCCATCCTCTCCCATTTGTCCCAGGTTTCGACCCCTACCATCTCCCTTCCCCCGCAATTCTGAGCTTTGAATGATGTGCTTACCGCAGGGAGGGATGCAGGCCTGGACTGCGGAGAGAAAGCAAGCGTTACGACCCTGTAAGTCGCGGCAGGTGCCCACCTGAAGTTCCCCTAGAGGAAACGTTTCTGGGCCGGATGCATTCCTCCAAGAGGACAGAGCAAGGCCTGACGCGGTACACCTAGGGGGCGGGGCCAAGCCTGCAGCATTCCACCTGTAGGCGGGGCCAGGCCTGCAGCATTCCACTAAGAGGTCCGGCACAGGCCTGCTGCTAGCATCTAAGACGGGGTGGGGGGGAAAAAGGGCGGCAGGCCTGCTGCTCTCACCGAGGAAGCAGGGCCAGTTCCGGTGTATTCCGTCAAACGGGGCGGGCTTAGATCCTGGGCGATGCTCGGAGGGGACAAAGTCTAACTAGGGGGCCCAGTTAGAGGTGTGGTCAGGCTGGAAGTAGCCCCTAAGGCGGCCCGGTTGGAAAGGAAACCTTTCAGAGTGCACAGGGCCAGATACAGAGATCCAGGAAGAGGCCCGGGCTAATCTGGGACAGGAGGGTCCTAAGAAGCGTCCCAGCTAGAGATAACCTTCCGTCGGAGGGGCGGGGCCGGACCCAGAGTGGTCCAAGCAGAGGAAGAGGCTGTGTCCCGAGTGACCCACCAAGGGAAGCTCGGCTCAGAGATCGGGCCAGGGGTTTGCGCTGAAGGGAGCAGATGGGGGTCTCGGGAGTGGGGTTTTCTAATTGTCTGTGCCTGGGGGAAGGAGATGGTCTATTTTACCTTCTTTAAGCCGTAATATAATCTTCTGTATTTTCTCCGCGGCATGAGGAAAGGCAACCCGAAAGGACCCTGGAGGGTAGAGGGAGTCCTTGTAGTAAAGACCCTTCCCCAAGGCTGGCCGAGCTTGACAGGACTCGCTGTCATCGTGCCTGTGCCCCTCCCCCAACCCCTCTCCACCCCCCCATGTCTCTGGTATATGCCACATCCTCCTACCCTGTCTACCCCAGAGGCTGACAAATCCCCAAATCTCCTTCCTTCTGCTGACTCTGGACTAACCTCTCTGATGGAACCCCTCAGCATCATCTGTGTTATCTTGTTGAGGGGAAAGGGGAGGATAAAGGTCACATTTCTTCCAAGGCCTACGAGGCTCTATATGGTCTGGCTTACTCTCCCTCTCTATTCCATCCCTAATACCCACCTTTCATTTCCCCTAATATGAAAAGAACCATATTCTCTAGCACTTCAGGGCCTTTGCACGTGCCACCTTCAGTTTCCAGCACATCACTACCCCTACTCTTACTCATCCTTCATGTCACACCTTGTGTCACCTCCTTAGAGGTTTTCCCTGACCACAAGTATAATCTAATCCAGTCCCCTATTTTTGTCTCTAATAGTGCCGCATTCATTCCATTATAGCTCTCACCAGTTTGCAAATACATTTTTTTTTTTTTTTCTGGTACGCGGGCCTCTCACTGCTGTGGCCTCTCCCGTTGCGGAGCACAGGCTCCGGACGCGCAGGCCCAGCGGCCATGGCTCACGGGCCCAGCCGCTCCGCAGCATGTGGGATCTTCCCGGACCGGGGCACGAACCCGTGTCCCCTGCATCGGCAGGCGGACTCGCAACCACTGCGCCACCAGGGAAGCCCGCAAATACATATTTTATATATACATAGTGATCATTTAAATCTGTCTCTTAGTGCTATGTCCTCAGAACCCAGGAGAGGGCCCTGAGTCTTAGAAATAAGTATGTGTAGAATGAATTCCAGGATCCAACTGGAATGGAGACCACAGCTGGAGTCAGTGACCCCAATCCATCCTTTGGATGTGTTATATTTGGCCTGGAAAGTATTTTTTAAAATGAACCAGTTGCCATCATATAAAATTTGGGAAAAGTCACATAAAATGTTTGGCATCCTTTTAAGAAACTTGGAAGGGCTGTAAGAGAGACCGTATTTCCATGAGGCAGCAGTTAGCTGGAGCTTAGTAGCAGCCTCCCCCTTCAGACAGGGCACACACCCACTTTTACAGAGCTCCCAGCCTCTTCATTTCTATCCCTCTTTCACTCCTTTTTTTCCCCTTTCTTTTCTTTCTCTTCTTTAATTGTTTTTTTTTTTTTTTTTTTTGGCCATGCTACATGGCACCATGTGGGATCTTAGTTCCCCGACCAGGTATCGAACCTGTGCCCCCTGCAATGGAAGCGTGGAGTCCTAACCACCAGGGAAGTCCCTCACTCTTTTTATGTTCTCTGTCCTTATGGATGTTTGAGTTTTGACCACTGAAATGGCCTCCAAGCTATAATGTTTTGGGGCTTTTCCAAAGTGGATGGGTGGAATGATTTACAGGTGGAGGTGGTTTTGGAAATCAAGAAACGTGGCAGGGTCCTATGGGCTGAATTGTCTCCCTCCCAAATTCATATGTTGAAGTCCTAACCCCCAGCCCTTCAGCATGTAACTGTACTTGGAGATAGAGTCTTAAGGAGGTAATTAATTAGGTTAAAATGAGGTCTTTAGGGTGGGCCTTAATCCAGTATGACTGATGTCCTTAGAAGAATAGGAAATTTGGACACAGACACAGAGGGAAGCCAGCCATCTACAAGCCAAGGAGAGAGGCCTCAGAAGAAACCAACCCTGCTGACACTGACTCCTTGATTTTGGACTTCTAGCCTCCAAAATTGTGAACAAATAAATTTCTGTTATTTAAGCCACCCGGTGTGTGGTATTTTGTTACAGCAGCCCTAGCAAACAAATACACAGGGATTGCCAGTTGCCTCAAAATATCTACTTTTCTCTTTAGTAACATAATACTACATTTTAGCTGAGAAAGCACCCTTCCCGGCTTCAGCTAAAAGACTGCATTTCCCAACCTCCCTTGCAGCTAGTTGTGGTCATGTGACTTAGCTGTGATCATATGACCAACTACTGCTCCTTGAGATTAAGTGCAAATGTCATGTGTGAGTTACAGAAAGCAGCCTTAAGAGAGAAATGGTGACATATTATTGACCCCTTCCCCTTCCTCCATCCTGTTGCCTGAAACTTAGATTTGATGGCTGGCGCTCTAGCAGTTATAAAGGACCATGAGGATAAGGGGGTATACCCTAAGATGGTAAGGCAGAAAGCTGGAAGGGGCTTGGGTTCCCAGGAAAATGGAGCTGCCATACTAGCCTTAACTGCCTACCTCAGGACTTATTTTTTATGGGAGAAATAAACTTCTAGCTTACTTAAGCCATTGCAGGTTTCTCTGCAATTTAAAACCATACAAAACAGGAGGGAATTGAGAATATTGGCAAGAGACTGGCTGAAGTGATGATCATTGGGCAGAAGCTGGAGGGGGCGCTGAAGCCAGGAAGCAGGTTCAAAATGAGGGGTCAAGGACTTAGGGGTCTCTCCTTGGCCACAAGGCAGGCATGTGGTCTGGAGATGGCAGGATGGTCGGGAGGATGTGGTCCAAGTCGGGTGCTCAAATGAGAGGCCAGGATGTTGGAGGAGGCATCTAAGGAATATCTGTGGACCAAACCAAATGACTCACAGGGAAGGGATACACCAAGTCAGCCATGGGGCAGGGGAGAAGCATGGGAGTAAAGTAGGGATGGAGTGAAATATCCAGAGAGGCCAAGGGGCAGGGGCTGTATCAACTGAACCACAAGGGGGCGCGGGTGGATGTTATAAAGTCTTCCCCAAAAGAGGTGCTTCATTAGGAACTCCAACTGTTTCTGATCATCTGGGTTTGAGTCCTGTCTCTTCCAATGATAAGCACACCTGTCGCACACCTGAGCTAGCCATCACACATCCTCCTCCCTATGTGACCTCGCCCAAGTATTTAACCTTCCTGATCCTCAGTTTCCTCCTTCATAAAGTGGGGATAATATTGGTGTCTACCTCACAGGGTTGGCGGGGAGGATTTAATGTCATACAACATAAAAGCATTCCCCTTCCAAACTATGTGCCAGGTACCATTTAATGACCATGTGGGATAATGTCTCTAAGTGCTTGGAATGGTGCCTGGCACACCGTGTCATAGAAGGGTCAGCTACTGGTATTACCATCCCCAAGTTTGAGATGGGGAAACCAAGGCACAGAGAGGTTAGGAAGGCGGCCCAAGGTCACATAGCTAGATTTGAACCCAGGTGGTCCAACTCCAGAGCCTCCACATGCGACCACTACCTGTGGTACACACACTGCCCTCCTTGACACCATATTATCCATTCCATGGTTTATATACACTAACAGTGTCACCTGCCACCACCGGGAGCCACTCTGAGTCAGCACGTCCATCTCTCAGGTCCTCCATTTGGGAGAGACCTGGGAGTCATCCTCGATTCTCCCCATACCCCTCACCCCATATATGTCTGGTCCAGACATCTCCTGGGTCCATCCTCCCTGTCCAGCTGAGCCCCAACTTGCCCATCTGGAAAATGGGGCTATAAAACTCCACCTCATAGGGCTGATACAAGGATATCCTTTAGGAAGATAATTAACAAGTAACTCTGCCAGGACTTCACTGGTGGTCCAGTGGTTTAGACTCTGAGCTTCCACTGCAGGGGGCACGGGTTCGATCCCTGTTCAGGGAACTAAGATCCCGCACGCCACACCGCGTGGCCAGTAAAAAAATATATAAACAAAACACAGCATCTTCCATATAAGGGGCAGGTTGGTCTGGGCCCACCTGAACCACCGCATCTGGTCCGAGCCACCACTGACCTCACTGGTCTCTCTGCTTCTGCCCCTGACCCACGTGGCCTTAGTCAGACCCCCTCCTTCCTTAAAATCTTCCAATGGCTTCCCCATATCAAGAGCAAAAGCCGAAGAGACTGGCTAAAGTGATGGTCATTGAGTATAAGCTGGAAAGAGGAACCACCTTGGCTAAAGTCAGACCAAGGGCCCACCATAGTGGTTCTCAAAGTGTGTCCCTAGAACAGCAGCAGCAGCTCCTGGGAACTTGTTAGCAATGTCCATTTCTGGGCCCCACCTCAGACCTACTGCTCAGAAACAGAGGGTGGGGCCCAGGAGTCTGCATTTTAATAAGCTCCCAGGAGAGTCTGACATACACTGTGGGGCTAGAGAACAACTGGCCCCAGGGCCTTTGCACTGGCTCTCCCCTCTGCCTGGAAGCTCTCTCCCCAGGTTATCTGCATGACTCTCACTGTCCCCTCGTTCCAGTCTTTGCCTAATTGGACCTTCTCATTTGCAACTCTCCTGATCACCCCAATGGCCACCCCATTCTGTTCCCCTTGTTTTCCTCCACAGCACAGATCACCAACTGACATCAATGGCATTTCACTTGTTATGTTTAATAATCAACATAAGCAACCTGAGGGCAGGTGGCTTGCAGTTTTGGTCACAGCTGTGTCCTTGGTGGAATTCCTGGCACATTCAGTAAATATCTGTGGAGTACCAGCTTCTCCCAGCCTCCAATCTCCCTCCAGTCCATCCTCCATGTGGCCCCAGAGGATCTTTCTACACGCAGAGCTGACCCAGCCCTTCCCCAGCTCACAGCCCACCCCAGCTCTGGCCTCCTTCACAGCAGCCTCCACCCAGGCCTCCCTGCCTCCACTCTCTCCCCTGCTCCAGTCGGTCCCACACACAGCCCTCGCCAGGGTCTTCTACACTCAGAGCTGGACTTGTTTCTGCTCTTTTCAAAACCTTGTGTGACAAGTTGGCCTACACCGGGGAGAACAGGCATCTCCTGGAATCTTCCTCCCCCCTCCCCAGTCAGCTCTGAGTTCCTCAGCTCTCCCTTTGGGGGTGGGGGATCCGCAGCTGAAGTCTTCTCTATGCTGGACCCCCCCGGGCGCCCCCTGGATAGATGGGAACCTCCTCATGTTTAGGGATCTTTGTCAAAGAAGCTCCGTGGCAAGAGCAGGAAGCGAAAGAAGTAACAGCTAAGATGTAGAAATAAGTGCAGAGCCCCCAGACCACTGACGTGGCCAGTTTATGCTGCCAAGCAGTGAGCGCTCCCACCCCCAGTCTCCAGCACACTGCGGGCATGGGGGTGGGGGAGGATCCTGTGTCACGTGACCACACGGTGGCCTGCTGCGATCACTGCTCGTGCCGCCCCTCGGCCACAAGGGTCGCCCCAGCCCTGAGGTCCCTCCCCACCGGCACACGCATGTGTTTCTCTAGAGTGTGTGTCTCACCCACCCCAAGGCTGTCACGTGTGCCTGTCTCCCTTCACAGCTGTCACCTGAATCATCCCCTCTCTCCCTGTTCCTACCTGTCTTCCAGCCCCTCAATAGCCTCACACGTCAAAAATGTGGAATTACTTTGTTAACTGTAGGGAATATGTGTGTTTTATCCTAGAGGAAGGTCTCCTCCCTGAAGTCTGTCTCACTGGGGGAGCCCTGCCTCTCACTGAGCTCTGAGGCCACCCCGGGAGGCAAGGAGACTGTCCCATCTCTCAGATGGGTAAGTTGAGGCCCAGGGGGTGCGGGGGGGGCCGTGATGCATCCAGAATCTCATAGCCAGGAAGAGGGCAAGCCACACAGTGAGGTCAGAACGCACAGCTCCCTGATGCCATCTGGCTTGAGACTCTAAGTTACTTCAGCACTGTCTCCACCAGCCCCTGCCCATCTCCTCTCTCCCCGACAAGGCTGCCCAGCTCCCTCAGCTTCCAAGCGTCACCTCCTCCGAGATCACTGTCAAGTTCTGGGCTTTCCCCACACAAACATCCATCTCCTGGGGGCTCCAAGCCCACATCTCCCACCACTGCCGGTCCCGCCCCACTCACCCTGGGCAGCGGCCACCTCCTGCAGGGAGTGGGTCATCTGGGTGAAGGCGTCGTGCAGGTGGCTCCTTTCATCGTAGTCTGGGGGTCAGAGGCAGGAGCTGGGGCAAAGCGGTTCCCCAAACACCACATCCCCAAAGTGGACCTTCCTCTGCCTCTCTCTGAGTCTCTGGCCCCCGCAAAGCCTCTGTCCTCCCGTCTCTGAGCCTCTGGCCCCCGCAAAGTCCCTGTCCTCCCATCTCTGGCCCCCGCAAAGCCTCTGTCCTCCTGTCTCTGAGCCTCTGGCCCCCGCAAAGTCTCTGTCCTCCCGTCTCTGAGCCTCTGGCCCCAGCAAAGCCTCTGTCCTCCCGTCTCTGAGTCTCTGGCCCCCGCAAAGTCTCCATCCTCCCGTCTCTGAGCCTTTGTTCCCCTCAGCCTCTCCAGGCCTCTCTGGTCCCTCCCTCCACATGCCCCCCCCCCAGGGCCCTGGAGGATGTGGGGTGTCTCCTCACTGATTTCAGTGTCCTGGAGGCCCTTAAAAGCATCTGTTAAGGCCTCCTCACACTTCCCGAGGTCGGGGCTCTCCAGGCCGGCGAAGATCTGGCAGATTTGGAGGCGCTCATTGTAAGACGTGAAGCAGAGGAGACAGGCCCAGGCGGAGGCCCGGAAGACCGTGAGGGCCACCAGGGAGGACGGCACAGCGCTTCCTGCGGCCAGAAGGGCCATAGCGGAGGGTCTCAGCCTGTGGAGAAGCTGGAGACTTTTGTGAGGTCACAGTGGTGCGGGGGAGGGGCTCAAGACACGGGGTCAGAGGTAGGGTTTCAGTCTCCAGTCCAATGTCAGGCTCCAGGGTTTCCAGGGAGGAAGGGTGTGTCGGGTCAGGGGTCAGGGGTCGGACCCCAGGCTGATGGCTGGGCCGGATGCCAGGCTCCCAAGAACCTCACCTGTGACCCTGGACGTCCTCACAGGTTAAAGGGTCTCAGGGACCCAGAGGCCGGCAGTATGGTGTGTGGGGGCCCGCCAAGCCCTGGGGTGTGGTAGTGGGGTGCAGCAGAAATGGATATGGCACAGAGACACCGTGAGGGCCCGAAAGACAGAAACCAAGCCATGGAGAGACATCGGGAGCGTAAGAGACCCAGAAAGCACCATAAGAGACAGATGGAGACAGCGTCTCAGAGGTCACTGTGCAGAGACCCAGCGGAGATGGAGAGACAGAGAGAAAGCAAAGCAGAGATATCTTGATGGGAGAGAAACTCTTTGAGGGAAGGGGCAGGAAGGAATGTAGGGACGAGTACACGAGGAACAGCCCAGCCTCTCCTCCCAGGATCCCTGCGGCAGCCCCTCTCCCCAGCCTGGCGGGGTGGGGCAGGGGACCGGGGTCAGGGGTCCCCGCCGGGCCGTCCCGTGCAGGGCGCAGCCTGGGGAAAGCTAGGAGGCCGTATAGTGATCTCCGTGGGTGTCCTCCTCAACTATACAACCTCCTACCTCAGCCCGGGGGGCGCGGCAGGTGGACAGACAGACGGATGGACTGGACGGACAGACGGGGGCCAGGGAGGGCGGGGAGGGCCGGGGAGGCCCCAGCCGCGATGGTGAGCCCCCGACACGGACCCACAGACACGAGCTTGTGTGCGGCGAAGGCCCCGCAAGGTCGGTTCTACGGGTGGGTGCCAGGACCCAGGAATCCGGGCCCCCGGCCCCCTCCTCCCCAAGGAACCCAGGAGTCAGCCCCTCGGCCCCTTCCTCACCAGGGACCCAAGAATTCAGGACCCAGGCCCCGTCCTCCCCATAGGTCCCCGCAATGCAGGCCCCCTAGCCTCCTCTCCCCCAGATTCAGAAATCCAAGTCCACAGCCCCCTTCTCCCCTGGGGACCCAGGCCCCCCAGCCCCCTCCCTCAGACCTGGGAGTCCGGCCAGGCCTGCCTCCTTGGAGAAGACACAGCCTGGCTTCCTGGATAGTGGGTCAGAGGGAACCTCACCTGTTTTGGAGTTTGGTCCCTTGGACAAGACGGTTCCCTACGTACCTGTCAGATTCAGAAATCCAGGACCGGTGTGGAGGCCGCCCACGGGATACAAAACCGTCAAAGCCTTTCTGGGTATGTTTTCCCCTCTCTCTTCCCTTCTTTTGGCCTCTCATCATGCACAACACTGACAGCTACGGTCCCTGAGCGCTGATACCGCCCCAGGCCTCTGTCATGTGGCAGGCAGGGGCTCAAGGTGCCATCAGCACCCCCATTTTGCAGGTGGGAAGGCTGAGCCCCAGCCAGCTGGTGAGTGGGAGGGGCCAGGCCTGCCAGGTGGCGGGACCAGCAGCCACGCTTCCCCACCCCTGGGCTGAGTCTGGGCACCTGAGAGCCTCCGCCTCTGTCCAGCGCTTGTCTGTCTTGCTCTCACCGTCCCCGGCTCCACCTCCATCTTTCTGGTTCTCTCTCCCCGTCCTGCCGTGCTGCCGCTGGCTCGGTCTCCGCCTTACCTGGTCTCCATTTCCTCCAGCCTCCGCATGCTGCTCCCGGCTCCGCGCCGTGCCCCCCCCGCCCTCAGCTCGGCCTTCTCGCCCGGTCCTCCCTCTCTCCTCTCCCCGCCTCCCGGTTCTCCCTCCTTTCCCTTCTCTCTCTTTGCCGTTCGCTCGCCTCTCACCCCGCGCTGCTCCGCGCCACCCCGTCTTTGTCCCTCTCCTGGTCTCTCCCTCAACTTCCCTGTGCCTCACTCTCCCTCCCCCTTTCTCCTGTTTGCCCCCCTCTCGCTGCCCGCCTTCTCTCCATCCCTCTGTCTCCTCCGCTCCCCTCTGTCTCTGTCTCTCTCCTTTTCTCTCTCCCTTTCTCCCTCCCTCCCTCCTAGGTCTCTCTCCTTCCTTCCCTCCCTCCCCTTCTCTCTCTCTCTCTCTCTCTCTCTCTCTCTCTCTCTCTCTCTCTCTCTCTCTCTCTCTCTCTCTCTCTCTCCC